GAAGAGGGGGGGGGGGGGGCAGGGGGAGGAAGGGGGAAAAAGGGCTATGTTGCAGCCTAGGCAGTTAAAGTCACTCCTAAACTCAGTTTGTTGCAAGATGAGAAATCTTGGGAAACAAGCTAATTGTCAGGAAACTCCTCCCTGTTGGTTGCATCTTCTGTGAAAGTTGACATGGCCAGAACCATTAATAAAAGCAGTGAATGAGAATGAAAGAGTTACTTCTAGTTTCGCTTCAGGAGGTTTTCATTAGGAAAGATGAGAATAAGCATGTTGCAATGTTGCCAATACAAAGCCTGATTTGAAGGAGAACCTCATTACAGGCAATTTGAAGTATAGTCCTGGATTTCACATGAGGCTGTGACATCCACCACTGTCTGTGTGTGCTTGGTTGGTGTCTGCCATTTTTGTGTTGCCTTGGGCACAAGTGCTAAAGTCCTGCCTTATTTCTGCTGACTTGGTTTGGAAAAAAAGAGTGAAGAAAGAGCTGGAGGGACAAGGGGGAGAATATCTGTGTTCTCCATTTCAGAGGAAGAAAACCTCCCTTTGAACATACACGAAGGAGTTGCTGAGAAACGTGGGGAGGGAGGGAGCAAAAGAGAAGTAAAACAAACGATGTAGGTGCTTCATAAGGAATTCCCATTCCTATGTCTGTAAAGCTAATGTTTTGCTTGAGTTTTGCCCATTTGTTCATTCTGAGCTCACACATTTTTCATATTTTTTGTGTCCCATGGCTTTTAGGAAAATGAACATTTCCAAAGGCTGTATATTTTGCTAGTATGTATAGATATATCCAAATATGATTCAACAAAACCACCAAGCAAACAACTTCAGTTTATTACTGCTACTACCACGTAAGAACTTGTAAAACACACCATTTGGAGAAGTGTATTCAAGGGATTCAGAAAAGGTGAATATATGCTCTAAAGATAACACTAGCTTTTATTGTGAATTTCACGACTATTTTGAAGTTTTAAAGTTAGAAGTGGAAATCCAAATGAAAATCAGCGTTGAAGTTGATGGAAAATGCAAGTTGTCTGCCACTGGTTTTCAGTTTGGAAATTTGATGGAATCTACCATACCAGTGTTTCATTACTTAGCTCAGTATATTCAAGGTTTGTATGAAAGTACAAATTTTATTAGCTATTGTCTTGTTCTGTGTCTATCCCTCTACACCTTTTAAAAATGAATGCAGGAAGTTACCAAGGCAGAGTAAGCCTTTCACACCCAGCTTATGGAAATGGCTGCTCTGAAGGAGAGACAACTGATCATCAGACTCCATGGCCTTAGAAAGTTAAGGGCTGTGGTCTGAAGGAAACTCTTCCCTCCAGTTTTTTTTTTCTTTTCCTCCTGTTTTTGTAATGTCTCAACCTCTGCCAGTTTATTTTGTGGTGACTCTGTGATGCCTGTATGCATGGTCAGTATTCTCAGTCATCCCAAAGGTATG